AGAAGGATAGCATGACAGAGCGCAAACTAGCTGGATATATTTTATTAAAATATATTTTTTATTTTATTTTGTATTTACATTTTACTATAATATAAAATATTATATTATCACTAATATAACAAAAATCTACAATATCATATATAAATTTTGAAGGCAAAGTAGATTTGCCTTCAAAAGGCAACAAGATTTTCAGACAGATGGGCCTTAGATGTGAGAGAATGAGAAGGGTCAAAGATGACTCCAGGGCCATCTTTGGAAGGATAGAGTTGCCTTCAACAAAAGGGGTTTGGGGGTTGCCAGAAGGTGTTGGAATGTGGACAGATTGAGTCACACCACAGTGAGGTCTTCCTTATGAAAGCTGCTCATGTCACACTTGCCCTGTTCTTATGATTTTTCTCCTTCCCCAACGAACCATGAAGACCAAAATCTTTAGTGTGGCCTATATAAGATCCTGCAAAGGGTCCCTGTCATCCCTCTGGCTCCATATTTGTTCCAGACTTTGCTTTAGGTACATTCCTTGGGCCACATTGGCTACCCTTTTGTCTGCACTGTCTGGAATGCCCAGCCATCCTCCACATCTGCTGTTTTATTCTTTTCTTTCTTTCTTTTTTTCTGAGACAGGATCTCACCGTCACCCAGGTTGGAGTGCAGTGGTACAATAACAGCTTACTGAAGCCTTGACCTCCAAGGCTCAAGTGATCCTCCTACCTTGATTCTTCAGGTAGCTGGGATTACAGTCACTTGTCACCACTCCTGGCTAATTTAAAAAAATTTTTTTTGTAGAGACGGGGTCTCTCTGTTTGTCCAGGCTGGTTTGGAACTCCTGGGCTCAAGCAATCCTCCTCTCTAGCCTTCCAAAGTGTTGGGATTACAGGCATGAGCCACTGCACCCAGCCCTGTTTCATTCTTCAATTAAATTGTGCATAACCTTCAGCTCTCATCCCAGATTCCAGTATTTGGGTTTCCTCATATGCTCTCTCATAGTGACCCTAAATTTATCTTCTATAATTATAAATTTTTATAATTATTTGATTCATGTGCATCTTCCCATGAGACCCAGGGGGCTGGGTTCATGTCTGTTTTGCTCACCCTTGTACCCCCCATGCTGCACACAGTATCTGGAATGTAGTAAGTCTCAGTTAATACCTGTTGAATGAATAAATTATGGTTTACTACCTACCTAAAAGAAAATATTAGCTTACACATTTACTCACTTTCAGAGTCTTTGTATAATTCTGGTATAAAGAATGCTGTACTAGAAAAAACATAAAGGAAATTACACATCATTATTTATAATAGCAATTACTAATATAATTCAAAGTTCATTATGCTCATTAAGGAGTCCGAGCCATGAATGATTCATTTCCTGTAGAATATAGCACTGCTCACCTGATACCTTGTCTTCAGAAACCAGTGACAGACTTGCACTGTCTGTCCCCTTGAAGACAGACTGTCATGTGGCTTGTTTTGGTCACTAAAAAGTGAGCAAAATTGACAGGCATCAATTCCAGGCAGAGAAAACTGGTGTACAAGCCTCTGGCTGCTCCCTACTATGTTAGTTTCCTGTGTCTGCCATAATAAAATTACCACAACTGGGTGGTTTAAAACAATAGAAACGTATTCTCTCGTGGTTCTAGAGGCTAAAAGTCCAAAATCAAGGGGTCGACAATGCCATGCTCCCTGTGAAGGATCTGGGGAAGAATCCTTCCTTGCTCTTTCAGATCTTGATGGCTGCTGGCAATCCTTGGTGTTCCTTGCCTTGTAGAAACATCGCTCCAATTTCTGCCCCCATCTTCACTTGGTATTCTCCTGTGTGTCGGGGGGGGGGGGTGGGGGGTGGGGGAGTCTCTCCTGTGTCTCTGTATCCAGCTCTCCCTCCCTTTTCTCTTATGAAGACACCAGTCATTGAATTTACAACCCGCCCTAATATAGCATGACCTCATCTTAAGTTGATTACATCCTCAAAGACCCTATTTCCAAATAAGGTCACATCCACAGGTACCAAGGCTTAGGCCTTGAAAATAGCTTTCTAGGGGACACAGTATAGGCCACTACACTGGAAATCATGAAGCACATGTTGAAATGGAGCCTTATTAGTCAGCCCGAGTCCCAAACTGACTGCTGTGAGACAGGCCTGTGTCTCCCAGCTCACCTCATTTCAGTCACGTGGCTCCCAAGTAAAGGGATAGGCTGAATCATCTGCACCAGGTAAAGCTTCCATCTCTCTTGCTTTTTGGTGACCACCTTTAATGGATTCATATACATGACATGAGTCTGTACTGTATATGATCTTCTTGTAACTATCTCTGGACTGTCCTTCATAGGACATATTCCTGTTGCTGGTCACTTACTGAATGCCTGCCATATGCCTATTATTGTGCTGTGTGCCAAAAGGGATGCATAGAAAATTAGACACAAAGATCCTAACCCCAAAAAGTATACAATCTAATATAGTGGGCGGGACAGAAAAGATCTATATCAGCGCTGGCTGAAATTGTCAGGGGAGACCAAATAATGAGACTTAATAAGAGGTAACCCTGACAGAGCTCCCAGTCTGTTCTAGGCACTGTGATAAGCATTTTGCAAGTATTATTAAATTCCATAGGGGTTGTACCCCATGAGGTTGGTATTTTATACCCATTTTATAGAAGAGGAAATAGAGGCTTCAAAAGGTTGTGTAACTTGCCCAGTGGTCACACAGGATTCCAATCCTGATCAGCCTATCTCGCAAACATGGGGTTCTACAGACACTCCTAGATTGCATTTTCATTTAAGCTAAGCCTTGATGGTCTGCTGGAACATGGTAGGCTACACTTTACACACACAAGGCTCATTTCACCTGATACAGTTATGCCTGGGCAGAATTGATCATGTGGCAATATCAACAGTTACAGTAATAGAACAGAAACAATAAACTACTGTTTCATTTCTATTTCATTGTTGCTAAGTTGTCCCTCCTGCCTTTTTTAACAAACTAATCCAAATTTTTCTTTTTCTTTTTTTTTTTTTTTTTCATTTTTCCCTTTATAACAATTGAAGTCAGACTTCAGTTTTCAAACTTGGCCTCAGATACAAATGTGGCATATCAAGAGTCTTCATTTCTCTGCTAAAGCATTAAAACAATTAAAATTTCCAAAAGAAACAACATGAATCTAAACCAACCCTATTTTTAAGTGTTTCCAAACTTGTTTCTTTTTTTTTAAAACTTGTTTCAAAACAGCCTTATGAGGATTGTTTCCCAAACAGCTGTGTAAGAAGCCAGCCACTTTTGAAATCTGATTTTTCCTATGTAGACATATCATATTTTCTATGCTTGAAGAAGCAGGGAATACCCAAGCTGGCATTCAATAGTAGCGAATATGAAATAGACCATTAAAAGAAAGTCATAGGAATGTTAAAATCCATGTTGACTGGTTTTTACATTTACCCGGCAGCATTCCCGAGCTAGCGTTGGCATGGAGACTGGAAAAGGAAACTTTCCACAAGTCTGTCACTTGCTACTGTTTCTACTTAGTCCACTGTGAGTCCAATTTTAACATTTTTTTTTAAGTTGAAAAAAAGCGTTTAACTCCTTTTGTGTTTTCTGTTCATGACGTTTTTTAAACATGAGAACACGTGTGAAAAAGATTTTTAAAAAGCAGCCAAAGAGTGGGGTTTCCAAATATTCAGCTGTTTAACATTCAGATAATTGCCTGCCTTCCCCCCTGCTAGCCCCCACATTTCGTCTGCATGCTTTGGCATAGGGGAGCCCCACAGTCTGAAAGTAACTCTGTCCCAACTCTCCTTACTGCATTTATTAAAGAGGCTGAAAGACGCATCTGCTTTTCAATAGTTTGTGGTTCTTAAGAGACCAGGAAAGCCAGAGGTTCTGACTGTTCACGAAGAAAGTTGATTTCCCAAAACGGGCAAGCAAATTTGGTGTGGTCACATCTAGGTATCCTTGACATCATTTTTGTTGAGGGAAACAGGCTGCAATTCTTGGAGCCAGGCTAGGGTCAGAGATGGAGGGTAAATCTGCCACTTGTTCTTTCCTGGTGTGCCTGGAACCCACTAGACACTCAATTCATGTTTACATGAATGAACGAATCACAATAATGCCCTGTCGCATCTGTAAAACCGAAGGGTGATTTTCCTGGTCTGGAAAGTTAAAGAAAGAAGAGAGAGCTGCGTACCTAGGGCTTAAGGGGCCTCAGGCTGGCACTCGAAACCAGGCGTTCTCATTTTCCTTTGGCATCACCCTGAACGGCTGTGCCTGGAGCCGGCGCGGGGCTGAAGAGGGGAGGAAATACATGTGAGGAAAATCAGAGGAGAGGGTCGGGAACAGATGTGGGCATAAAGGGAAGCCATCTGACATGAAAGAAACAAATAGGAGTTCTGCGGTTGGAAGGACAAATCCTTCCACGTCGTCGGGGATGTGGGATTGGGGCGATTTTGCTCTCCCTTTGTTCTTTTCCTCTGCCTTCCACGTTTCCAGGGTATGTGATTGATGTCTGTCTTCTCTGTTAAGTTATTCCACCGTGAGGACAGAGCCGGTGGCAGTACCTGGCACACAGCGGGCGCCCAGTACAGACCTGCTGAGCAAACGAATGGATTCAGGGGCTGCTGTGTCTCCCTCACCCACCCCCCGCCTCCTATGTGCCTGTAGCGCTGGGCACGTAGTAGGCGCCCCCTAAACATCTGTACAGCAAATGAGTTGCAAGTTTTCGGCGCAGAGCACGTGGAGTTTTGGAAACCAGGACAGCAAATGAGTGACTCGGAGACCACAAAAGCGATTCCGGCGCGTGCGAAAGGCGGCGGCTGGGCGACGGCGGAGGGAACGGCGCGGAGCGGGGCGCCCCGCGAGGAGCGCTGCCTGCGTGGCGCCCGAGGCGGGGGCGCGGGGGGCCGCGCGCAGCACGTGCTCGTCTGGGAACCTGCCGGGCCCAGGCGGGCGCGCGTGTGCGCTTGGGGCGTGGGGTGTGTGCCCGCGCCGTGCCCCCCGCGTGTGCTGCCGGGCGGGCGCCGGCGTGAGTCACGGCGGGGCTAGCCTTTATAACGGCCCCGAGGCTCGCGGGAGCCGCCGCGCCCGTCCGCCTGCCGCTCCGCGCTCCACCCAGCGCGCCCCGGCCCCGAGCCCCCAACCGCCTCCGGCGGCCGCCCAGTCCCAAGGGCGCCATGAGAAGCCCGCGCTGCGCCCCACTCCTGCTCCTCCTGCTGCTGCCGCCGCTGCTGCTCACGCCCCGCGTCGGGGACGCCGCCGTGATCACCGGGGTAAGCGGCCCTGGCGCACCTGTCTGCCCCTGATGCGCGCCTGCGATGTGCCCAGGGGTCTTGGGACGGGGACCCTGAAGGGCAGGCTAGAGGCAAAGGGAGGGTCGCCCTGGGTGGGGACACCTGCCCCAGTCGCCCCTTGGTGCGCTTGGGAAAATGCCCAGATCCAAAAGCAGCAGACGGCTGGGGACACTGGGCGCGTCCTGGAAGAAAAAGTGACAAGGATGTCGCCCACCACCTTTATTACCACCTTCTCCCACTTACTTCTCCCTCATCACCCACAGCCTCACTCCTCGCATTTTTCTTCTGTTAGGCTGAAAGAAGTTTCTCTCTTGAGTCTTCTCAAGTACTTTTGGAGGCGCTCCAGCGTCGAACCTTAAAATTTGACGGCCCCTTCCTGAAATGCGAAGGACCAAGACGAATTCCCCAAGTGCCCAGAGTCTTAATCCTACAATCAAAGAGTTTGCTCCCGATGCGTCCTCCGCAGAAACCCTTTGAAATCGCTTGGTCCAGGGCCATGTGAGCGCTTTGAAAAGCAATTGTGGGCGCTTCCTTCTGGGTTCCGGGGCTTTTCCCCGCCAGGGTCTTGAGGTCTCCCCATAAAAGTTTTAAATTTCTAATTCCTGGCAAAGCACCTCCAGTGCTCCAGCATAATGATGGAGTAGGTTGCTGTGTAGATGTTTAAACTTAAAGATGTCTTCGTCTTTTTTGTAAGCAGGAACTAGTTCGGTTCTCTCCCACTCCCAACAATTTTGTGTGGATCTGAAGAATTGGGTTTGCAGTACAATAGTAAATAGTCTGGTTTACATTAACAAGGCGAAACTGCTATCATTTCCTGGTTGTTCAACTTCTTTACTGTTTTTTTTAAGCGAGGAATTATTTCACACCTTCATTAAATTACTTCAAATATTTAAGTGCACATAATAGGATTTACATAAAATGTCTATGTTTGAACTGTTGATACCTAGATAATAAAATAACATTTGATTTTAAAGGAAATGTCATTGTCTTGAGAAAATCAGGTCCTATTTTCTCTATATTAGTTATTAGGTTTATAGAATTTTGGAAGTCTTTATGCTGTGACAGCATTTGTATATATCCAACAGATTTTTAACTGTAAGCTCTGTGATATTTATTAGAAAAGAGGTTTTTAAAAAAATTACTTGCATAGCTTTGCCAGTCCATGTGGTTGAAAAAAAGTTTTTGCAGGTCTTTCTAATAAATGAGAATTGAAACATGATTGAATTTTTTTCTCCCTCTTCTCCTGCTGGCTCATTTAAAGTTTCTCCTAATCCTCTGAGCCCAAGATCCCTTTGCAATATAAGTATCTTTTTGTTCCATTCACAGGACAACACTATCTGAATAGATTTGCAATGGGTTAAGGATGAAGGGCATTAGGAAACAGCTGTCTAATTAAAAATATATAAACCTGTGCAACTCTTTGTAAATTTTCCAAGAACTGAAGCTTTTGTTACAAAATAAAATTTTATCACATTGGCTGTCTATCTGTTAGAGAGGCTTAGACTGGGCTTATTATATAGTTATGTGTGCTGTTTTTGTTGTTGTTATTTTAACTCAGTGTTACAAAAAGAGAATTTTTTAAAATGTCTCTAAAGCAACAGGGCAATAAACTGCAGTTATGTCTCTATGACAGAAATCATCTGGATTCAAATGAAAAATTCAGTAACTTATCAAGATATATTGTATATAGCATGTTAAACATCCAGGTGATTGAATTTTAAAGGATTTTGGCTAGATGTTTGATTGTCTCATTAAAAAAACTCATGGGGCCTCAAAATTCAGGGTATTGAGCATCTGTTGAAATAAAATACTGGCTAAAACTTCCATCTTACATCTACAGTTTTTTGGATAGTGTATGTAGGTATTTTGAAATTGATTTGTATGCCCACATAGATTTGTTAAAACTATATTGTAAAAGATCATTGACTAGACATCTTACTTATGGGATGCAATGGCTACATTTACATGATTTCTGGCATGCAGATAAAAATTGGAAAGTTGAAACATTTATATATTGTCCTGTAAAATCCAAACACCTCATGATGAATCCAAAAACTCAAGGTGAAATTTTTACCTTTTATCCAGATACTTGTTTTAGATAGACTGAGAGATATATTCCAATAAGGGAAGTAAATGAACTTTAAAGTAAAATGGTTGGTTACTTTTAATGAGAAATAATGTTAAGAATGTGCCCATGTTTTTATGTCTTGAGAAGTTATGACTGTACTCAAAACTAAGAATTTTGAAGGACTGTTTTAGTTGTTTCCACTAATTATACATTTAAATTTGTGCCTAAATGATAGAGGTTTTAGTTTCTTACATATATAGTACAGGATGTTTTTATCTTATCACTACCAAAACAGATTACTGCCCACGGTTCAAACAAAGCATTCTATTTTTTGTTGGTTCTAGGAAAGAATAATAGTTCTTCAGATCTATTTTCATGCAAATAAATTTAGGCTTCATTATTTATTTCTATTTAGTAGAGTATGGAAATTCCTCCATAGTTGTTTCATTCCATTGTTTCCTCCATTGTTTCATTGTATGTATTTACAACTTTTACATTGAAAGCAGGTGCCTTGAGTAATTACTATTGACAATTGCACCTGTCACTTGCATTTCTTAAACTGATGGATCTTACAGGATTGTTAGCTGGTTTTGTAATGTGCATATATGTTTATCCTAAGCCAGTAATTTACTCTTTGCAGCTTATTCACCTGAAGGAAGAGTAACATAAGGCAAGCATCTTGGTCTGTCCATTCTCAACCTATGAGACTTCTTTAAAGAGAAAATAATGAAAAAGCAAGTCAGTGGTGTGAGAAACGTCAAGTCTCATGAACCAAAATGCAAATATTTGAAAGGGAAAATGAGCACTTCTAAAATTTACCTCAGTGCCTTTATGGGTCTGGAGTGTTTCATGCCAGATTTAGAGACTATTTAAATCTCTTTTTTAAAATTGGCCCCAATGTATTCTGCAGTTAATAGTCATAAAATCTTGTGATTGGATTTATGTAGTTCCTAATGGCCATGTGTAGTGTAAGACTGATATAGTCTTGTTCTTCAAGTTCAAAGCCAATTCAGCCATAAAGCGCTGGAAAAAGAGAGCTGATTTCATTTTTTAAAAACATCTTATGTTTATTTAAGATTTTCATAATCTAGGGGCTAGAATTTAGCCCAATTTCAAAAAAATAAGAAATAACTATTCTGATCAGATTGTATTGTAGATATATACAAGTAAATGAAGGTTATCATTTTTTAAAATATATGTGATTATTAACGTTGAAGTGTTTAGATATTTAAAGGGCATTTTCACTGCCAATTTTTTATTTCCTTAGCCTGAGTCTTTCCTGTTATCTATATTTATCTGTTTGTTTATTACATTTCAGGCTTGTGACAAGGACTCCCAATGTGGTGGAGGCATGTGCTGTGCTGTCAGTATCTGGGTTAAGAGCATAAGGATTTGCACACCTATGGGCAAACTGGGAGACAGCTGCCATCCACTGACTCGTAAAGTTAGTATATATATATGTGTATATATATATATATATATATATATATATATTTGTATTCATGGTGATTCTACTGTGATAGCTGCAAGCAAGGTCTGTATGACATGAAGGACCGGGTGATGTACTCGACAAACAAATGAATATTGGACGTTAGCAAGGATAACAGTGGAAAACTAACCCCTCTCCTCTCCCCTTTCATTTCAAAGAATTGTATCCTCTGTCTTTCTTATTCCAGTGATAATTTTCATGTTATTGCTCTCATAGTGTTAGAAGCATTTTACCAACATAATTTCCAACACATGAATTTGCTTAAAATTTATTTAGAACAAAAATACGTATTATACTTTAGTATGCATCTTTGCAGAAATCGGAGTATAGAAGTTGTTGAAAAGACTGCTTTTAATATTAGATCTACTGATAAGGCATAAGCTCTGCGTTTTGGGTTTTTTTTAAGAAAATCGATTATACAATTACTCTTGTATGTTAGTTTAAACATTCTATATTTTGACTCTACCTACAGGATACGTTGTTCACAATTTTAGAGATTGATGATATTTAATTTTCCAACTTGCTGTATTATCTGTCAACTCAATATCACAGTGACCTAAACAATACTTTTGAAAAGTTAGTAACAATAATGGCATGATCATAGGATGGCAGGATTGGACAGGGCTTGAGAGGTTGTGTCCCCAAGGGTTGCAGACCCACCTGTCTACAGGGGTCGGGAAGGTTTACATTATATGAGGAAGCGGGTGGGTGGGAGGCAGAAGGCATGTGGAACTGGAGAGTTCTTGGCCTTCTGATTAAAAACCTTTGAAACACAGTGAGGCCTCAACAGAGCCCCCCAGGAATGCCAGGTTGCGTTGCCTTCCTCTGGTTCCACCTCCGCATTTTTCCCATCAGTAAAGTGCCTCCAGAGGCATTGCAAGTCCTAGGCCAGGTGGTTTGCAAGAGGTTGAGCTCAGTCTCTTCAGAGAGTTCTTTCTACACATTGTATACTTTCTTTTAAAAACAAGTAGAATGTTTTCAAAGCAAACCAAATTCCGTTTTCTGTCTTATTTTTTCACATGTGATTTAGGGTTTTAAAATGTAATACAGCCAAACATCTTTCCTGTACTCCACAGTCCCAGAGAATAGTTAATATTTTGACCTCCTCGGAGTGAACAGAATGAAAGAAATTGTGGCCCCTTGACCCAGGTTTAGCTCTGCAAGCCGTAATGTGGATTCCAGCTGTTTGGGCCTATCTAAAGACTGAATTTGCTTTTGGCTTTCCTGTGGTTGCCTTGTGAAATGCTTCCTGTTACATTTAAACCATCCCTCCTGTGGTTTTACCATGCAAGACTGCACTGTCATTAAAAAACATGACATGCATTGTTTATTCTTGGACAGAAGAGGTTTAAAGTGTTAGTTGTGTGTCTCAATGCCAAACTTCCCTAGAAGAGGGGCCACTGGCCCAGCTGCCTTTAGCATTGATCTTGTTATTTTCAACACCCTTATTGAATTATGAGTTATCTTTTGTACACTTAAGTCATTGTCTCTGAAACATTTACTCTTCACTTTCTCCTTTAAGAATTACATTGTTTTTGGCTTGCATAGTGGCTCACACTGTAATCCCAGCAATTTGGGAGTCTGAGGCAGGCAGTTTGCTTGAGCCCAGGAATTTGAGACCAGCCTGGGCAATATAGTGAGACTCCGTCTCTATAGAAACATTTTTTAAAATTAGCTGGGCATGGTGGCACATACCTGTAGTCCTAGTTACCAGGAAGGCTGAGATGGCGGGCCAGGGGGGATCAGTTGAGTCCAGGATGTTCAGGCTGCAGTGAGCATGATTGTATCACTACACTCCAGCAAGACTCTGTCTGGAAAAAAAAAAATTGTGTTGTTTTTATACAGTATTAGTATAGTTTCACATGCCCTAGATGTTAGAATCACATAGCCTGTTTACTAAAACAAGGGAAAAGTGACACTTCCCGTGGAACTATGTTTGTGTTAATAACAATCATAATTGCACCTTGTTAAATACTGTGACATACCGGATCCTCTATATTAAATGTTGTATATATACTTCTTATTTAATACAACAAGCCTATACACAACATTAAGCCTCAGAGGGGTTCAGCAACACAGGCCGTGAGTAAACAAGAGACACTCAACTTTATTCTTTGTGACACTCTATTGTTTATGTGGTCTTAATCATTACACGCTTCTACCTCCATGAAAGTAGTCGTTGAGTTTAATTTGAACACTTTTTAGTCTAATTAACCAAAACTGGTTTGTTTGGATAATAGAGACAAAATGATCACTGGAATGAGTGATAACAGTTCAGACTGGGAATTTGTGCCATCCGATAGTTTTGAGTGTTCCAGTCCTCTGCAATATTTAAAAGAGAACCGAATTCTTTCTCCCCAGTTCCTAGATAACTTCAGTTTCAGGTTTAGTCCAAGATTAATTTTGAAAGTAAACAAATGCAGTCTTCTTTCATAAGCCTGGCTACATCTCTCTGATTTTGTTTTTTTCATGGATCCAATAATGAAATCTTTAAATAACAGAGTATGGTTTTCAGATGCTCACTTGAAATGTATTTCTGGAATTTTATTTTCTAACTTTTCATATTGGTTGCTTTTTTGTCTTCAAATACATTTTCAAATGTTATTTTGACGACCTATTTTAAGAGTAGGTCCCAGAGTTGCTACTTGTTCCAGATGAAATTTACCTATTGTAGAAAAAAAATCTAGTTTCTTCCAGAATATCTCTCAGCTGTGTAGTCTTTTCAAAACAACGCAAGGAAAAAAAGTCTTTCCTCAATACATTCTGATGAACATTATGTACAGTATTCAATTGTGCTCTGAAGTTTAATGGCTCATTAATAGACAGTAAAAATGTTGACACTATATAGATTGTTTTTTCATTTTGTTTCAGCTTAGTCATTAGCCACCAAAAATCTGTTTATTTGGGTCAAGTGAACAGTATTTGATGAATGAAACTGAGAACCATAGGTAGGAGTTGATAGCTACTGAGGTCAGTTTACTGTTTTATTTAAGATGTACCAATTAACTTGTAGAGTTTACAGTCCCTGACAGGCTATTGTTTTATAATCGTATAGTTTTGAACTTTATATTTGATAATTTTAAGATAGAATAAAATATATGAGTTCACCTAGGAAACACAGTATGCATATTTTCTAAACACATTTTAAAGCAAATAATAGCTTTAACAGGTATTCATTTTTCTCAATTTTTTTTTTTTTTTTTTGAGATGGAGTCTCACTCTGTCACCCACGCTGGAGTACAGTGGCGTGATCTCAGCTCACTGCAAGCTTTGCCTCCCGGGTTCACACCATTCTCTCACCTCAGCCTCCCGAGTACCTGGGACTACAGGTGCCTGCCACCATGCCCGGCTAATTTTTTTTGTGTGTGTGTATTTTTAGTAGAGGCAGGGTTTCACTGTATTATCCAGGATGGTTTCGATCTCCTGACCTTGTGATCCACCCGCCTCGGCCTCCCAAAGTGCTGGGATTACAGGTGCATTTTTGACAATTTTTTAACAGTTAAGAATGACTTACTGAATCATGCCTATAGAAGAAACTTTCTGTTTAAAAAAAAAAAAAAAAACAAAACAACAACGTTTCTATTAATGCCTCTACTTTCCAAAGTTTACATAGAAGATTAGCCATTTCCTTCCCATTTTGACTAATGTTTAGGTTTGAAAGCTTTGAACACTTTTTAGTGTTCAGTAATTATGCGACTAATACTTTAATTTTTACTGCATGTTGTTTTCTGAATTTGTTCAGTTTGAACAACTATGTTTCCTTCAAACAATCTTGTTTTAAATTTTGCTGCACTTTTTATGTGAACATTTTTAGCACCAGGATTTTTTAAAAACTTCACTTTAAAAGTTGATCAATATATTTTCCTTTTCTGAAGGAAGAAAATTCAAATAAAAACCTGGTACTTGTTTGTTTTTTTAACTTAATATTTTAAAAATTATTAGTGATTTCTATTTTAGAACCAGCCTATAACAAAACATTGTAAACATAATTATAATTTCAGAATATGAAGTTATTAAAATTTTAATATATTTTTAAGTAAAAAAATTTTAAAACATGAAAATATAACTAATGCAACTAAAAATTTGCAACAGATGGGGAAGAAAGCATAATATGCTAATTTTCTCATCTTTCCTATCATGATGTCAAGAGCTACTGTCTATTATTATTTCTTGGGATAGCATCATAGCTGTGTTTTATAGGTTCAATTCAGCAAAAGGGCTTACAAGACAGAAATAGGCTTTAGTCTAATACAGGTTTTCTCAACTTTGGTACTACATACTCTTTGCCCAGTTTCTCCCAGTGGTGACATCTTGCAAAACTATAGTACAATATTATAAGCAGGATATTGACATTGATACAGTTAAGGCACAAAACATTTCCACACTATAATGATCCCCCATGTTGCCCTTTTATAAGTGCTAATTTCTCTTTAAAAGTGCTGTAAAAGAGTAAAAATCATGCTTTCTCAAAGTGCTGGATGTTCTGCCTCGGTAACTTCTAGAATTTGCTGTTTGGAATTCTAGGCTATTGGAAACTTTGCATTGAGTGTTGGTTGATTCTAAAGTAAACCATGAAGTTTGGACTAAGGGGTTCCGGTGTGCATCTTCCGTAAGCACTTTCTCATGCATTTGTGATTATGAGACACGCCTGTTAGCTTTGTCACTCAGTGTCTGTAAATCTAGAAGTGAATGGGCCAGTCAAGAAATTGACAAGCATCTACTGAGTGTATAATATCAGAAATCATGGCTTTTGGCCAGGCACAGTGGCTTATGCCTGTAACCCCCAGACTTTGGGAGGCCGAGATGGGCGGATCACTCGAGGCCAGGAGTTCAAGACCAACCTGGGCAACATGGCAAAACCCTTTCTCGACTAAAAATACAAAAATTAGCTGGGCGTGGGTGCACGTTCCTGTAGTCCCAGCTACTCGGAAGGCTGAGATGGGAGAATCTCTAGAACCTGGGAGGCGGAGGCTACAGTGAGCTAAGATCACGCCATTACACTCCAGTCTGGGCGCAACAACAGAGCAAGACTCTGACTCACCAAAAAAAAAAAAAAAAAAGGAAAGAAAGAAAGAAAAAAGAAAAGAAGAGAAGAGAGAAAAGAAAAGAGAAAAGGAATCATGGTTTTTGTCATTAGGAGCTCACAGATCTGAGTGAACTGGGTTTGAATGAGAAAAAAGCACCTCAGTATCAAGGACCCTGCAGTTCAGTGTAATCATTATGTTAGGGTCAGTCAAGGCAGATCCAGATTGATGTTCATACGGTCTCGGTGTCCTTGATTTAAAGATTACAAAGTATTTTTTGAAAGTTTCACAAAAACAGATAACCTCATGAACACACTACCAGGGTCCCTCCTCTAGGTCCTGGACTAGAGGCCTAAACATGAGAGGGGCTTTGGCCTCTTGGGCTTCATGGTGAGTCCATCTCTGAGTTTGGTGGTGTGAGTTACGTTTTGCCTGCTCAGAGCTGGGCAGGGTAGTGAGGGGAGCCTCGGGATCTGAGACGGTCATCTCACTTCTGCCCTTTGGGGAGTTTCTAGTCTCTGTTGGGCATTGCAGGGCATGTGATTGGCACAGAGCAAGTATTTCCTGAGTGTTTTCTGTGTACAAGACTAAGAGCTATATGCTCATGAGTAAAACGGATATGGTCCCCTCTTTAGAGAGTCTGGTGTCTGGGCTTGGTGGTGTTTGAGAAGAGAGCAAATTCTGGAAGAAAGCAGGACCGTGTTTGACTATGAGCATTGTCCCCTCCTAGCTGAGTAACCTCAGTCCAGGACCTTTGTTTCACCTCAGAAGGAAGTCACTTACCTCTGTCTCAGACAAAGCAAAAATCTGGTGCTGAGGTTTGGGATGACATTCATAAATGATGCCTTCTGAGAACTGACCCATGGCACACAATCCACGTGATTTTTCTTTTCTACCAGGCCCAAGGTACTGCCCACCCCATGTGACAGTCCAGAGAGTGATCATAGTGTCATGATGCAGAAAGCAGAAGGCTGTGGGCACCCGTAAGCAGCTGAAACAATTTTACTGGTGTTCTGTCTTGTATTATTAAGAGGGAAGCGCCACGATGATGTACACCCTCACCTGTTTTGCTCATCGTTGTATGCTCAGCACTTAAGATAGGGCCTGGTATGTAGGTGGCACTTAGTATCTGTCGAATGGGTAAATGAAAGAAACATACTTGGTGATCTCTGTTTATAACAGTTTAACATGCTCATTATAGGTGTATTTCACTGACACACTTCAGGCTCCTTTTACTTGGATATAGCTCTCTGTGTCTGTTTTTCTCAGCCTCAGCACTATTGACATCTTGTGCCAGATAATTCTTTGTTGTAGGGGTTGTCCTGTGCCTTGTAAAGTGTTTAGCAACATCCTTGGCCTCTACCCACTAGATGCCTAGAGCATCCCCCTCCCTGCCCTTAGTTGTGACAAATGAAGACATTTGCAGACATTGCCAAATGTCCCCTGGGGACACAATCATCCCTAGTTGAGAATCACTGGCCCGTGCACCAGTTTTAGGCTTGGCAGAAAGGAAACTTAAGGTCTCAGGGTCAGAATGGGCTATAAAGGTAATTGATGATCACTTCTCATGCTATCCACTTATAATTGTCTAAGCCAGTCCAGCTGTACTCACCTCCTCTGATGTGTTCTTGGTGGCAGCAAAAGAGCCAGCCCTCAGTGTTCCCTTTGACACACAGTGACAGAACCATTCTGAGCGCAAGTCTCTATTAATCCAGTGGCGAACATGTCTGCATGTAGATGCTGTCATTAGAACCTGGGAAGTCATGACACAGCAGGAGGACAGAGGAACTGGGATGGCTTGGCTGTATCTTGCTCCACCAGTTCACTACATACATACCCTGCCCTCCCATTGCCTCTTTTTCTTCCCTTTGTATTTATTGATCTCAATCATCTCCCTGGCCCTTCCAGAACAATTTTGGAAATGGAAGGCAGGAAAGAAGAAAGAGGAAGAGAAGAAAAAGGAAACAGGAGGTAAGAAGAATGCGAGTGTGGTACCACCGAAAGACATGCCCAGAAGAATTAGCCTTTACATTGTTGCACTACCATAGAGTTGGGTCTGTCCTATCAGTTCAGCGCCGATATAAGGTTGGAATGGTTCTGCCACTGTCTGTAGACAGCTTTGGTAATCTATGTCGATATCTATATGATATATACAAAGAAATCTATCTGGAAGGCATCTAAACAATGCATTTCAGCTTTTCTCGTAAGGACAGATCATTGATGTGGGGTGGCCCGTTTTGGTGGAACAGAATAAGAAACACACTAGAATGATGTTGAATAAAGCATTTGAGTTTGGAAGCAGGAAGAACACATCCCCTGCCATGTTTAAACTATGGAAACATCTCTGAGATATGAGTCTGTAGTCACTCGTCTCTCTCACTTTAGCCTGAATCAGAGTCACTTGCCATCTGATTTCACAGACGCTCCAGGCCTGGGATTAAACTTTCTCCATATAACTTGTAAGACAGGCAGATTCTCAGGAAGGTGCTGTTCCTTAGGGGAGGGAAAATAACATTTGCTGTCTTTATTCTAGAAAGCATACATATTTGGAGTGTACACCATTTGCCGCTGACACAGACAACCACCATGCTCGCTGTCGGTTGACCCTCCTCAACCCAGCTTGGCGGGTGACATGGGCTGGGTTCTTAGAGTGACTCTCAAATGAAGCAGACCTTTCACTGCTACGTGGTTTGTTCCATTTATGCAAATTGAACTTGCCTTCTTCCCTGATTTTCCTCTGTTCCTTTTAAAGTTTTTTCCCAGCATTTTGACTCCTGGCATCTGTGTGCACATGTTTGAATTTATATATTGCTCATTGATGGTGAGTTTATATTTGCTTATTGCATAGACATGGTCATGCCCATGATACCAGCTTCAAGCTTAAGGAGCTTCAGTGATAGGATACCATAAAAAGAAAGAAATGAGAAAAAGTGAAAGGCAGTACAACTTGAGGACTAAAAGCTTGGTCTCTTGGGCCCACTCACTGCTGGCCAAGCTTCAAGTTTTAGATAAGTGCCCTTGGCCAATATACCAGTCTCTCTTTGCCTCATTCTCTCATCTGTAAAATGGGTACAATTAAAGTGCTTGCCATCTTTACAAGGTGATTGTAAGAATGGGAAAGGATAATATATAAAAAGTACTGAACAGGCCGGGTGTGGTAACTCACACCTGTAATCCCAGCAGTTTGAGAGGCTGAGGCAGGCAGCTCACTTGAGGTTGGTAGTTCCAGACCCGCCTGGCCAACATGGTGAAACCCTGTTTCTACTAAAGACTACAAAAATTAGCTGGCCGTGGTGGCATGCACCTGTAGTCCCAGCTACTCGGGAGCCTGAGGCAGAAGAATCACTTGAGCACGGGAGGCAGAGGTTGCAGTGAGCCAAAATTGTGCCACTGCCCTCCAGCCTGGGTGACAGAGCAAGACTCTGTCTCAAAAGTAATAAATAATAAATAAAAAAAAGTACTGAGCGTATTGCCTAGTGGGTAGTTAATGCTCAGTAAACACTAGTTGTTATTTAAATAACTATCTCAAGAATGGTTTGGTGTGTTTGTTTTTGAAACCTTTCCAGCTCTGACTCCGTTTTCTTTTTTATTTAGGTTCCATTTGTTGGGCGGAGGATGCATCACACTTGCCCATGTCTGCCAGGCTTGGCCTGTTTACGGACTTCATTTAACCGATTTATTTGTTTAGCCCGAAAGTAATCGCTTTAGAGTAGAAACCAAATGTGAATAGCCACATCTTATCTGTAAAGTCTTACTTGTGATTGTGCCAAACAAAAAATGTGCCAGAAAGAAATGCTCTTGCTTCCTCAACTTTCCAAGTAACTTTTTTATCTTTGAGTTTTAAATGATTTTTTTTTTTTTAATCGGGAATTTTACTTTTGGATAGAAATATAAAGTGTAAGGCATTGTGGAACTGGTTCTCATTTCCCTGTTTGTGTTTTGGTTTGGTTTGGCTTTTTTCTTAAATGTCAAAAACATACCCATTTTCACAAAAATGAGGAAAATAGGAATTTGATATTTTGTTAGAGAAACTTTTTTTTTCCTCACCATCCCAAGCCCCATTTGTGCCCCGCCACACATACACACACACATACATACATACATACATACATACATACATACAACTTTTGGTCCCTTGCCTCTTCCACCTCAAAGAATTTCAAGGCCCTTACCTTACTTTATTTTTCTCCATTTCTCTTTCCTGCTCTTGCATTTTAAAGTGGTAGGTTTATCTCTTTGAGTTTGATGGCAGAATCGCTGATGGGAATCCAGCTTTTTGCCGGCTATTTAAATAGTGAAAAGAGTTTATATGTGAACTTGACACTCCAAACTCCTCTCATGGCGTGGACGCTGGGAGTGCTGCCGGACCCTTCCTAAACCTGTCACTCAAGAGGACTTCGGCTCTGCTGTTGGGCTGGTGTGTGGACAGAAGGAATGGAAAGCTAAATTAATTTAGTCCAGATTTCTAGGTTTGGGTTTTTCTAAAAATAAAAGATTACGTTTACTTCTTTTTCTTTTTATAAAGTTTTTTTTCTTAGTCTCCTACTTAGAGATATTCTAGAAAATGTCACTTGAAGAGGAAGTATTTATTTTAATCTGGCACAACACTGATTACCATTTTTCAATCGGTATTAAGTTGTAATTTAAACGTTGTTTGTAACCGAAAGGTCGATTGTAATGGATTGCCGTTTGTACCTATATCAATATTGCTGTGTAAAAATTCTGTATCAGAATAATGACAGTACTGTATATCATTTTATTTTAATGGTATATCCTTATTTTTGTCATGGGTGTTGTCAGTTTTTATTATAAGCAGATTTCTAAATAGGCTATGTCCTAACATGGAGAAAGACCCCAAGGTTGGTAAAATAGCCCCAGAGATATGTGCATTTTCATCTTACATACAGCAGAATTCTGTTTGCATGGATTTTAAGGTAGTTCAAAAAATAAACAAGGTGTAAATCAGTGGGGTTTTGGAGCGTGAAGGAAAAGGATGCCATGCAAAACTGATGGTAATCAGGAATGGACTCATGGGAGTTAAGTGTATTGACTTGGCAAAGAGTGATGGGAGTGTGTGCCTCGGGTGGTTAGGCAGGGTGCTAGGTGCTACCACATGGTGATGCCAATGTAGGCTGGCCTTGAAAAGCCACCAAGTATTGTAAATGGTTTCAACGTCGCAAGTAAACAGTTTATGAAATGTGTTCAACTGACTAAACTTGCCCATGCCAACCCACCAACCATTTCCAAACACAGAAACTGTCCGTTTTGTAGTTATTGACTCAGCCAGGGTTTATGATTGCACATTGTGTGTAATTTTACCCCTTGAGCTAATGTGTCCCATAAATGTATGGGATTTTGCTGTGCTAATTACCAAACTTGATCAGAAAAGTATTACTTTTGGTTGTTTAGTTTGTGTTCAAGAAACATTCCTCTGCAAGTTTGCTGAAGAAAATTCAACTTCAACAAGGGGAATTATGAGTAAAGAAATGCACTCTGGCAATTTTGTTCTTTGTTTTCATATAATGTTCAAGACTTTCGAGGCTGCATTGGCCAGGTGCAGTGGCTCACACCTGTAATCCCAGCACTTTGGGAGGCCAAGGCGAGAGGATCGTTTGAACTCAGGAGTTTGAAACCAGCTTGGGCAACATGGAGAAACCCCATCTCTACAAAAAAAAAAAGAAAAAAAGAAAAATTGGCTGGGCACAGTGGCATGCACCGTTAGTCCCAGCTACCCCGGAGGCTGAGGTGGGAGGATCACCTGAGCCTGGGAGGTCAAGGCTGCAGTGAACCGTGATACTGTGTTACTGCACTCCAGCCTGGGTAGCAGAGCAAGACCCTGTATATATTAAAAAAAAAAAAAAAAAAAAAAAAAAGAGGCTATAATGTTGTTTCTTCCAGTTCCTAGGATCGTCTCACACACTTGCTGGGACTTCATAGACCAGAATTTCCACAAAGTAAGGCAAGATGAAAATTTACACGAGAAAACCTAAATCCGCAGTCTACTTTGAAAATATGAATTCCCTTCATTCTAAGGTAGACAGAAATCTTATGCTAGAAGATGATGCCCAAACCCTATTGGACCTTTGGATTTCTTTGCGAACGTTGACTTTCGTGAAAACTATCATTTCTGACTTTATTCTGCCTTTTATCAAAAGCAACATTTTTTTAAACCATAGAAAAGCTTATGCCAAAACTATTTCCTGTAAACCCTCCTATCTCGCTGAGAACCTTCATTCTTCTCAGTATTTCCATGTAGTTCTTTTGTTAGAGCCTTTTATAAAGTCAGTTCAGTGATAGATCAAACACATAACCTGGTTTTCCTCTTCATTGGTTTCAATATTAGAAATCTCATCACCCTTTTCTAGCTTCATTTTTAGAAGGTTAAAGGTGGGGGCCATTTTAATTTTAAAAGCCGGACACTTCTGGTATTCAGTAAGGGTCCCTGTGCAATTCACCGACAACCTTTTATGGTGTTTCCATCTCCGTGTTGCTATGTCTTTCTGATAATATCCTCGGAATTAGTATTTCATCTTCTGATATCTTCCCCAAAGTTGTCAATTCTCAGTACTTCCTTTTGTGTTAAAGAGAACTCAGTTTCTTCCAGCATTTTCACAAATTTTAATTGACAAAAATTGTATTTATTTGTGGTATACAACATGATGTTTTGAAATATGGATGCATTGTGGAATGCTAAATTGAGCTAATTAATGTATGGACTACCTCACACATCTTTTTTTTTTGCATTGAGAACAGTTAATATCTCTCTCAGTGATTTTCAAGTATACAATATTAACTACAGTCACTGTGTTGTATGATGGATCTTCGTTCCAGGATTTTTTAATATATTTCAAAGATGACAGTCTGTAACAACATGATCTTTAAATAAACTTTATTATCCCCCACTATATATATATATATATATGCATATGTGTATATATTTTTAGGGTACTTTCAGAGTACACATTTCCCAAAATTAGAGATGCAATTATGATGTTGTTCTTGAAGTACGGTTCCCATTTTTTCCATCACCCACCACTCTGAAAAATTTTGATTTGATTTTTATAGGATGAGGCCTAAGTGTTGGGATTTTTTTTAAAGCTCCCTAATTAATTTCAAGGTGCATCCATAGTTGAGTGCCGCTGAGAACCAGTAGAGGACTGTACTCCTATAGAAAGGTTACTGGTACCCAGTGACACTATTTGATGAGACACCTTTCTAGTTGAATTAGAAATGAGGATAGTAGCTGAGTGGCTTTGATTTTCTTACCACCCTCAAAAGTTCCTGTGGTCCTCAGCACCAGTTCCCTTTCATTCTAGAGGGAAACACACAGAGGGGTCCCACTGGAGAATCCCCAGTAGCAATTAGCCCATTTGAAGAATTCACGTGAAGTTCCCCAGGGAAGCAGGCCCCAGTCCAACCTGGCTAGCCTCACAGCTCCCTGGGTTTCATGAGCTCTCACATCCTTTAGTGCATCCTCCCGGGTGACCCAGCTTCAAAACTCCCCAGCAGGCACACCCCTTTCCCAGCCCCTTCCCCATACATCTCACTATTTCATTCTATTTTACTGGGTCCATAAATCATCTAACTGCTTTAGAGAGCCCAATATTGCACTGCAGTGTAACTGAATAAATCAGAATGGTAAGCATTTCAATAAAATACATATTTGTCACAAAAGATTAAAAGCAAAAAAATAGAAAATTGTGCTATAGGCGACACGATTGCTGGCAACAAAATGCAGAGGCTAATGCATATTACGTGCTTACGGGGTATGCATTCTTGTGCCCCTGTGGGGATTCCCTCATCATAAAGCCTGGAACACTGACTCATGCAGTTGTGCCAGCTGGGCAAAACGATGGCCTTCTCCATAGAGTGACAACCATAGTGAATAGTTTCAGGCACTCTCATGTTACTTCAGAGTTTCTCCATCTCAACACTAGTGACTTTCTGAGCCACTTTTTTTTTTTTTTTTTTTTTTTTTTGAGACAGAATTTTGCTGTCACCTAGCCTGGAATGCAGTGGCACGATCTCTGCTCACTGCAACCTCTGCCTCCTGAGTTCAAGCGGTTCGCCTGCCTCAGTCTCCTGGGTAGCTGGGACTACAGGCGCCTGCCACCACGCCTGGATAATTTTTGTGTTTTTAGTGGAGACAGTGTTTCACCATATTGGCCATGGTTGGTCTTGAACTCCTGGCCTCAAGGAATCTGCCCACCTCAGCCTCCCAGTGTGCTGGGATTACAGGCATGAGCCACTGCTCCTGGCCCTGGTCCACATCATTTATTGTTGTGGAGGACTCTCCTGTGCGTTGTAGGATGTTTAGTAGCATCCCTGGCTACTAGTTCCAGTAACACTCTCCAAGTTTTGACAACCAAAAATGTCTCTAGACATTGCCAAGTGTCCTCTGTGGTTGCAGGTGGGGATAAATTGTCCCCTTTGAAAACTACTGCTTTAGTCTGAAGCTATTTTGTGTCTGCTTGACTTCACTTAATAATAATATGTTTTTATTTCAGTATAAAAAGTTGAAAAGACGGTATTTGAAAAGTTAAACCTCCAAATGTGACAATACAAAATAAGTATCCTAAAAAACAAACAAAGTATTTTGTATCCAAAATAGCGGAATGGGGCCGGGCATGCCAGTGGCTTACACCTGTAATCCCAGCACTTTGGGAGGCTAATCTCTTGAGGCCAGGAGTTCAAGACCAGCCTGGCCAACATGGCAAAACAGGTAGCTGGGATTACAGGTGTACTGGTGCATGCCTATAATCCCAACTACTCAGGAGGCTGAGGCACAAGATTTGCTTAAAGCCAGGAGGTGGAGGTTGCCTTGAGCCAAGATCAAGCCACTGCACTCCAGTTTGGGTGACAGCAAGACTGTATCTCAAAAAAAAAAAAAAAAAAAAAAGGTAGTGGAATGGTAACCATTTGATATAATTTACATATTCAATAAAAAATCAGTTATCTGTCAGCTCTATAGTTTACTGTGTTTCAAGGAAGAAATTTTTAGAGTCACTCTTTAAAGTTTAAGATGAAGGGTTCTTTGGAAGGCCAAGATGGGTGGATCACAAGGTCAGGAGTTCAAGACCAGCCTGGCCAAGATAGTGGAAACCCCATCTCTACTAAATACAAAAATACTAAATACAAAAATTAGCCGGACTTGGTGGCGGGCACCTGTAATCCCAGCTACTCGGGAGGCTGAGGGAGGAGAACTGCTTGAATCCAGGAGGCAGAGGTTGCAGTGAGCCAAGATCGCACCACTGCACTCCAGCCTGGGTGATAGGGTGAGACTCTGTCTCAAAAAAAAAAAAAAAAAAAAAAAAAAGATGCTATATAATTCATCTAATATTCATCTAATTTTTCTATGATTGAATTAACCTGAGACCTTGATCTTTTTTTTTTTTTTTTTAGGAAATGTGTCTCAGTGTCACCCAGGCTTGTCTTGAACTTCTCGGCTCAAGTGATCCTCCCACCTTGGCCTCCCAAAGTGCTGGGATTACAGATGTGAGCCACCACACCGGGCCAACTTCACATCTTCAGAGTACACTTCTAACACATTTCCACATTGTTTAAATCTAAATTTTAATCATCTTGATTAAAATGTGATATAACTAATGGAAAATTCTTTTGCAGAAATGTATAAGCTTTACAAGAAAAATTGGGGGAAATTGTGCTTTATTAAGTTAAACAGTTGAATAACTGCTGAGAAGTTCACAAATAGAGTTTTCCTACAAACAAGATTGAGGCTGGCAGGAATGCATTTGGTTC